TTTAACTCTTCCCTGAACTGAAATTTAGTAGTGGCCTCCCATGGCCGAAACTGGTATTACGACACCTGCCGGGCCGGGGCTAATAATTTAGCATGCTAATTTAGGTTATATCTCGGCAGCACTATAACTTGTCAGTTTTTTTTAATGACATCATTGCACTTATTTCTTCTCATTCTTATGATGTGTGTAGCTCATTTTTTGGATATTTTTACCTCAATTATTCCATATGGCACCTTTAAGGGAAAAATGCGTAGGATGTGCGTGCGCACAGTTTTATAAATCCGAATATTTCTATGCGTATGCACATCCTATGTTTCATCCGTACGCCACTTCTGACGCAAATCCTACGCAAAGTTTTATAAATGAGGCCCCTGGAGTTCTCCATGTATTTTGGTACCCAAGTCTGATGACTCTCAGAGGTTCTGTACTGATTTCCATAAAGTTAATGCTCTAACTACAGTTGATTCTTATCCTTTACCTAGATTGGATGATTGCATTGATCGGGTAGGGCCTGCCAAATATGTGACCAAGTTAGATCTGTTGAAAGGTTACTGGCAGGTTCCTCTTTCTGATAGAGCCAAAGAGATTTCTGCCTTTGTGACACCAGATGGGTTATGGGAATATCAGGTTATGGCTTTTGGCATGCAAAATGCTGCTTCTACTTTTCAGAGATTAGTCAATCGAGTGATATCAGGATTAGACAACTAAGAGGCATATCTGGACGACATTGTTGTGTATAGTTCTGATTGGAGTAGTCATGTAGTTCAAATAAAAGCCCTATTTGACCATTCTTTCCCTGTACCACAATCTCGTAAGGATTTGAGAAGGTTCTTGGGAATGACTGGCTATTATCGTGCCTTTTTTGTCCAAATTTTGCAAGTGTAGGGAGTCCTCTCACTGACTTGTTGAGTCCCAAAAATGATTTTGTGTGGACAAACTGTTGTCAGCAGGCTTTTGATAATGCCAAGGCATTATTAGTGAATGCTCCTATCTTGTCATCCCCAAATTTCCAGACTCCTTTTAAACTAGCAGTAGATGCCAGTGGGGTGTTGGTGCAGTTCTTTTGCAGGACGATGATCGTGGGGTTAAACATCCAGTGTGTTTCTTTTCTAAAAAGTTTAATGTCCATCAAAGAAACTATTCTGTAATTGAGAAGGAAACTTTGGCATTGATTTTGGCTATTCAACATTTTGAGGTTTATTTGGGCAGCGGCAGTCCGATTAAGGTGATGACTGATCACAATCCCTTAGTGTTTTTACAGCGTAGTTGCACCACCAACCAACGCTTGATGAGATGGAGTTTGTTTCTGCAGTCCTATCCTTTACAAATTCATCACATTAAAGGAAAGGAAAATATTTTAGCTGACGCACTGTCCCGTGTGTAATGTCATGCCATGTTCCTGCCTGGTAAACTCCAATTAAATGAGTATAGGTATCTTTTATTTTTATTTTCGTATGAGTTGATTGGAGATTTATTTTTCCTCAAATTTGGTGGGTATGTTTATTTTGTATTAAATAATACAGATTATTTAATGTTTTGTTGGTGGAGGTGTTATATCCCTACCCCTATTTTTCTTAATTTCTTATTTCTGTTGAGAATCGTAGGATTGACTCCGCCCTGGAGGGTGTGTTTGCCCAATGAAGATCAGCTGCACATGTGGCAATCTATTTAAGGAGCTTCTGGATTTTCCCCACTCTCTCTCATTTTTGTTTTGTCACTTTGTTTGAAGAGTGGGTTCTTGAGTTTGTGTTTTCATTTGATTTCCACCACTCCACAAATCTCATTTCCAACCGTTTATTGATTTGATGTTGTGTTGATATTTATTATTATTATCTTATGTTTTGACCCTAGACACTATTTGTTTAACTTTAAATAAAATTGTATTTTCTATTTTGAAACACAGTTTGTGTTTTGTCCTCTTTATGTTATGACTTTGAGCCGGGTCGTAACAAGACGTCTATAGGACGTTTCCTGCAGATGTCAAATAGACGTTTAGAAGATGTGTCTAAGATGTAATGATTTAGAATGCATGTTAAACTGACATCTTATAAACGTCTATTTGACATCTGACAGGAAACGTCCTATAGACATCTTGCAGATGAGCAAACACTCTTAAAAATCTCCAGATGTAAAAAGGACATCAAATACCCTTGTGCTATCTGGGCTCAGTTTATAAACTGTACTCACGGATTCTTAAACTGTTCCCTCGGTTTAACAATTCGTGCCAACGGATTAATAAACCGTACCCACGAGTTCCTAATCCGTGCTCTCAGATTTGTAAACCATGCCCTCAGTTTTTGCAGTCTGTAGGGGAGTGCGGGGCACAACCTAACGCGGGGTTGAATGTAGCACGGACTTTTTACATAGTTCGTCAGGATCAAACCGGCCGTCTTTCCGCTCTTTTTCTCTTGCTGCCAGAAGACGGTCTCCCGCGAATTTGCGGAAAGTTTTGATAATATTTTGTGAAGATACTGGACAAAGAGTGTTTTGACACCATGAAAGTAAATTTTTTCATCATAGATTTTTTTTAGCTTTCTGGGTTGAATGTATACGCTTCCAAATCTAACTTTATATTGTATTATTATTACTGTTATTATTATTGATAATAATAATTGTACATGCAGCTGCCAAACACAAATCTAATTTAATTGCAATTACAATATTTATAATTTTATTTATTGTTATTCATTGCAAAACTGTGCAGCCCTTTTCGACATTTCTATCCATGATATTGATCCATAACAAAAGGATGATTGGATGAGGGATCCACTGGCTCCCGATACGGTTTAGGGTGGAGTATAAGATCCTACTGTTTGTGTTCAAGGCTATTAATGGCCTGGCCCCGGTCTACCTCGCCGATTTAGTAACATCAACCACCCAGAACTTTGCGCTCATCTGAACAGACCTATCTGGTCATTCCCAAATTTAAATATAAAAAGTTTGGAGGCCGGTCATTTGCTGTCCAGGGCCCTAAACTGTGGAACGCTTTACCAACATTCCTAAGAAGCATCACTGTGCTGGGTGCTTTTAAATCACAGTTAAAAACATATCTGTTCAGACAAGCTTTTAACATGTAATCTTCAACTGGCTTATTTTTGTGTTTTGTTTTGTTCTTCCCCTTTTTTCTGTTGTCTATTGATGCTTTTACTGGAAAGCGCCTTGTGCACCTTTTGGCTGTTGTAAGGCGCTATACAAATAAAATTTGATTGATTGATTGATTGATTGATTGAGGGATGGATGTATGGATATCTGTCTATACAGATGCACAAACAATATCAAACTATACAAATAAAATAGTACTGAATTATGTGTGTTACACACAAGTGTTACAACTAACCCCTCTGTCTGTTACAATTAACCCCGCATATGGGGTAAGTTGTAACATTTGCACTTCTGTCACTTTCAGTCCAACTGTATGAAAATGGTAGGTCAAACTTTCGTACAGTTGGACTATTTAGATATAAGACGCTATTATTAGGCCTATAATAATAGGCCTAATAATAATAGGTTATTATTATTACATTTAGGCTACATATTTAGATATAAAACTTTAAGTGTTCATTTGTAGCAGAGATATGCATGTTGCTTGTGTAAAAAAAAATAATCGAACCTAATTATTTTTTAATTAATTGAGCCAAAACCAAAATGCGTTAGGTTGTGCCCCGCTCTCCCCTACCCACAAATTCATAAACAGTGCCCCTTCGTACTCACGGGTTTGTAATCCGTACATCCATTTGTGGCTCGTCCCAGAGAATGTGCCGCTTGATTCAACCAGGCCTCCTGTTTAGATGCGGGATGCATTGTTTTTAAAAGGACTTCACATACAAAAAAATAAAAAATAAATATAGCCTAACACAAACACAAAGTTATAGGCCTATAAAAATAAAACATTCATAAATTGTTTTATGATTAACACATTCCTGTCTTAAGTGAACTCATTTAAAGTTCTAAACGCAAATAATAGGCCTAATAATAATAGGCTTTTATTATTACATTTAGGCTACATTTTAGATATAAGACGCTTTTATCAAAAAAAGAAACAAAGCAATTCATCAAATGTCAGTCATAATACAGGTTAGACAATGATAATACAGGGCTGAGATTACAGTATCACAAATAAACACAAGATTTTGACGCATAGGCTATCCAAGTGTTTGGGAAAAAAAAATAGATTTTACTTTCTAAAAACTATATTTTGCCCGCAGTGCTAAATGAGAAGAGCATGTCTCGGGAACCATAGAGAGAGATGATTTATAGGTGATTTATAGGCTAATCATAATAAATGTGTCTGAAAAATAACGATGGATTTTTATTGCTTAAATAAACAGTTTTCTAGTGTCGGGCTAAACATATCTCCATCTCCGCTGTAAAGTTGATGCACCTTTAGAGAAATGAGATGCGCTCCGGAGTGTATGTATGTATTATGTATAATGTATTTTTTTCTGTATGACCAGAAATGCTAGATTATTTTAAATTGTTCCACTGTTGACAGGAACATGCAATTGTTTGCGGCCGCGGCAATGACATGCTTCACACAAATGGTTGAATATACGTTAGAAACCTGTGTTTGTTTGTTAGAATCTTAGCCCATTATTATTGTCTAAGACATTTGACGAATTGCTTTGTTCTTTTTTTTTTTTTTTTTTTTTTTTTTGTTGATAAAAGCGTCTTCTAAATAGGCCTGTAGCCGAAATGGATTTTGATTTGATAGCTAATTATTATTTGCGTTTATTACTATGAATGAGTTCACCGAAGACAGTAATACATTTAACATAAAATAATTTATAACTTATAACCAAACCTTTTACAGTTTTTGAACTGTGTTATTATTATTTTATTTATTTAGCTTATTATAGTACTGAGCTTTTTCCTCTAAAAATGGACTTTAAAGATAAAAGTAGCTTAAATGTAGTTTTTAGAAAATGCAAGAAATTATCCGTTTTAAAAAAGGATTTTAAAAACAATGCAATGCATCCCGCATCTAAACAGGAGGCCTGGGGTGTATTCCAGAAAGCAGGTTATGTGACTTACCCGGGTAAGTTTAGGAGTAAGTAAGCGGATAACCTCTGCTTTCGGTTCCAAAAGCGAGAGTAACTTTCGGGTTATGTAAGTAACCATAGCAACTGACTCTCTGAAGATAACCTGCTCCGGAGTAGGTTATGTTGCAGGGTTAGTTTGTTTCAGAGAGGTTTCAGAGCATGGCGTGCCCTTTTGACGAGGATCCTGTGGACGTAGAGGCACAGATTATACGGGGTTTTTTTCGCCGTGAGAGGGTGATAAGACCACGTATCGATGTCTTTTCATATCCTGACGAATATTTGCATGAGCGCTATCGTTTTTCTAGGGAGTCGTTAATTTATTTAACAAACTTACTAAAACCACACATCGCAAACGTGACAAACCGCGGGTCAGCGATTAGCGCCGAACATATTCTTTGTATTGCTCTGCGCTTTTTTGGTATGGGGAGTTTTCTCTACAATGTGGGCGATGCAGAGCATGTGGGAAAGGCAACAGTGTGTAGGGCCGTTCGTACAGTATGCATGGCACTGAAACGGTTTCTACACACTTTTGTACAGTTCCCTGGCCATAAACCTGTGCGCGTTATTAAAGAAGAATTCCACAGGGTGGCAGGTACACTCTCAGAAAGTCTGTCATCTACTTCAATAAAATGACATTTCTTAATAGGTTTATTTTGACTGGACATGCACGTAAAAGGTTACACAGACTTCTTAAACTCGTAATTAATCTTTATTTCAGGGTTCCCAAACATGATTGGGTGCATTGATGGCACCCACATTCCTATTAAAGCTCCATCTATCAATGAGGGAGACTATGTTAATAGGAAGTCTGTGCATAGCATCAATGTGCAGGTAATAGCTATATTTTTTGTTACTTAATATTGGGGTTACCAATAATAAACTTATTGTTCTCCACAGGTAATATGTGATGCAACCCACCTCATCACTAATGTTGAGTCAAAATGGCCTGGTTCTGTACATGATGCCAGAATATTTAGAGAGTCATCTCTGTGCAACAAATTTGAGCAGGGTACGTTTTGTTAGACAAATGCTTGTAGTCTTTATTACATTTACAAAACACCTCAAACATTACAGGACACTTCTATGGTTACTTGCTGGGGGACAGAGGATACCCTTGCCTCCCCTATATGATGACACCCTACCCTGATCCTGAGCCCGGACCACAGACACGCTTCAACCGGTCTCACAGCCGAACACGGGCCAAGGTGGAGATGACAATAGGCATTCTGAAGGCGAGGTTTCAGTGTCTGCGTGGGCTCAGGGTCACTCCAAATAGGGCATGTGACATCACAGTCGCTTGTGTGGTACTTCACAACATTGCCACAATAAGAGGAGAGAGGCATCCCCCCTGTCCTGATGAAGAGGACCTAGAACAACACCCAATGAATCTAGCAGACCACAGAGATGGCAGAATGCTTAGAGACATGATTTGTCAAAATCACTTTATTTAATTTCTTTTATTTGTCCAGATCCTGAAATAAAGAGACATGACAGATTTGTATTAATTGCTTTATACACACACATGAAAAAAAAAAAAAAAAGATTCATGTTCACATATGATTCTCACCTTAAGGCGATGCTCCAGCAATTTGATTTCAAGTTTGGCCTTTTTAATGGCCAGCCTTTTCTCCTCTTGCTGAAGCTGTATAAGGTCCATGTCCATGTCACTTTTTTTAATTTGCCTTAATAGATGGACCTTATACAGCTCCTTTGCAGACAACTAGGAAGGCAAAGTAAATAAGATGGTTAAAAAAGAAAATCAGCCATAGTAACATTATGTGATAAGGACAACCAGGGACAAGTTCTTACACTGCTAAGATTAGATGTAGAGGTAGTTGGACCCTCATCTGCATTTACATCCCCAGCTACATTCTGTCACGGGACAAATTACACATTTTTCAGTCCATCTAAAAAGCTATGCATTGTCCAATATATGCATCATACCTCTGCGGGTCTCCCAGCACTTTCTAATTCAGTCACAGCAGATGTGGTCTCTTCATCATCATCCTAGAGTGGAAATATGCAAGGTTACTTTGTCTGGCAGACATAGTGAAAGATCTAAAAGCAACTGGTTCTTAAAATGCATCACTAACAATTGTGACAGACTGTGTGGTTTCAGGAGGATCCAATAATACAATGCGTCCATCAGCAACTGCAAGAAAAAAAAGACACTCAATGTGTAAATGACTAAAGTATGACAGACACTGAATAAAGGCATTAGGAACATGCAAGAATAAAAACAGATTACTGTATACATACAGCATATGCTGAAAAAGAGAATATGAAGAGTTCAGATGCAAAAGCCTCTAAATGCCATTTAAAATGTTCTTCTTTAATGATGATTTTTATCAAACTTGTATATTTAAGTTCAGTAATTTCACTTAAATAACAATTAATAGGTAATTATCATTGCAATTTAAGTGAAATCACTGAACTTAAATATACAAGCTTGATAAAAATGATCATTCTAGAAGAAAATTTCAAATGGCACTTAAAGGCTTTTGCATCTGAACTCTTCATATGTATCCATAATGCACAAGTGAAACAATGACTGCATTTGGGAAGCATTTAGCCTTCTTTCTAATGACAAGAGTTAAGGATTGTTTTGTCCAAACATATGATTAAATAATCACAAGTACTATGGTATACCTACATTGTACCAAGTCACTTGAGTTGTTGTGGGAGGAAGCAAATTCTGACGAAGTGCCCTCTGGAATACCATCGACCACAGGGCGACCTTTATTAAGAGAAAGAGCCAACTCCTCCGATGGAGTGAGAGGAGGTGGAGGTGGACCCCCGCCAGTTAGACGGGCCTCAGCCTTCTTTCTATTAGCTATATAGAAAGAATACTGTAAAAGTAACTTTAGACATTGATCTTAAAACAATTAAAATAAAATATTACCTTTTTGAAGAATATTTTTGTGTTTCATTTTGACTTGGCAAAGAGTTCTTTTGGCTCCAGAAGGATTACACCTTATAAAACAAGAGACCTATATTTCATGACAATATACATTGTACTGTATTCTTAAGAAACTGATGTAAAGAAAAGTACATGCTTGTCAAGTAATGCCACATGCTAAAAAAGACAATTGTTCAACTTTGCAAATGAACAAAAGAAAGGCAAGCATATTAAAAAAGTAAAAAAATAAAAATAAAAACGTACGCATTTACTCTGTCAGTTATTTTTTGCCAAGCCAATTGTCTTTCCTTTGCGTATGCAGCTGTGTTGCTTTTTTTCATGATAATGGGCTTGTACTCCTCATAAGCCAACATTAAAACTTCTAATTCACCTTCAGAGAAGTACGCGGCACGTGACTTTTCACCCTTAGTTTCCATGGTGACTCCTGAATTCGGTGATCCATTGAAAATGCCTTTATATGTTCGCCGGGCGCGCGCATTAACTCGAGGTTATTAGCAGTAGGTTGATTAAACTAACTCGACACAGGTGTTTTGGAACCGACATACCCAGAGTAAGCAGGTTTTGGGTTAATCAACCCAGAGTTTAGGGTTAATCTGATGGTTAATTAACCCAGCTTTCTGGAATACACCCCTGGTTGAATCATGCGGCACACTCTGGGGTTCTATCCACAAATCCGTGAGTATGGATTACAAACCCGTGAGTACGGATTGCGAAAGTGTGGGCATGGTTTATGAATTTGTGGGTACAGATTGCAAAAACTGAGGGCACGGTTTACAAATCTGAGAGCACGGATTAGGAACTCGTGGATACGGTTTATTAATCCGTGAGCACGAATTGTTAAACCGAGGGAACAGTTTAAGAATACGTGAGTACAATTTATAAACTGAGGGGACAGATTGCAAAACCGTCGCCTCGGATTGTTCTCCCCCCCCCCCCACCCCCCAACACAGGTGACTTACCGGGCTCCGTACACTTTCGATGATGCATCCTAAATAAAGTGTTTTTAAATCACTAATGGACATACATTAAATTCAGCACCAATGAGAGCCAACTGCATTCTGTCTCTAAGGTCAGCTGACCAGTTTTAATGACTTGACCTATGCTGTTCTTACATTAAATATTGTCACCTTCCTTAAATATTGTCCACCAAGTGATAATATAGTGTATGGATAAAATGAATAGTTATGAACATAAAGGTGCCTATTTCATTTGAATGTTTATGGGAGCCAAACGTTTCCTATACATATTCACTGCAGTTTCATTCTAAAATGAGCACTAGAGGCAGTAAAACACTAACTTTTTTCACTTTTCACAAAAATTATGATTAGAGCGGCATTGATATTTGCGTCACATAACCAGCTCCATATATATAACCTTTCTGATGTAGTAAACTTGCTCTGTAGCTCATCTTGTACAGCAGCATTCAACCCAATCTCACAGTAATTCGACAATATTTTACTAGGTGGTTAATTCGTACGAATTTGTACAACCTTACTTATACGATTTTTTTCTAAATAGTAGATATTTTAAGTGTTGCCCAATTCGTATGAATTCGTACAAATTACCTATCCCTGACCCCACCCCTAAACCTACTCATCACAGGTTTAGACAAAATATACGAACTGGTCATGAAATACACAATCAAGAGCTCAAAGACTTGTAAAAGCAAGCTAAAATGGCATAGATGCTTCAATAGTCTAGTGTTTATATCTCACTTTTGGTTTTGTTAACATCATCATTTATGGTAGGGTTTAGTGTTGGTAAGTTATTTTCAAACGCGGTAGATCATTAACATTTTAGTGCCACAAACCAGACATTTCAATTCTGATCTGCAGCAATAGCCTACAACAACATGCTTTTAGCAGCACTGGACATTTTACTTGCGAAACTTGAAGCAATGTAATATTGTTTGTTTCGGAGAATTTGTCCAATGAACCTAAGTTGAATAATAAAGCCAGAGTTAAAGCCAAAGTTACAGATATGTTATCATGGTTGTGTTTTTTGTTGTTGTTGTTTTTGTTGCTTTATACTCCTTAACTGAAGTAAAATCACCTATTGCATTATTAGAAGATGACGTGAGACAAAAGGAAAAGAAATACACAGATTAAAAAGGACACTGCACTAATGACAGAGTGATATATTCAAGCTGAAGTCACTCACATAAAAACTGAATTAGACTAAAACAAAGAAGTGATGATGTTCTGGTGAAAGCCTCTGCTCAGTGTTCTCTTTCACATTTGCACAAAACTTTCATTAGCGTGGATGGCAGGGTACGAGAGCAGCCATATCTGTTCCATTAGCGTCGCTCACCATAAATCAGACTAATCTCTCCTCGAGGGCGCACGCTAATGACACCGCAACTGCCATCGCCACCGTTACCCTTAACTCACACGCACCGACGTCTGTCATTACACCGCCCACCCCCACACCAACCCAGACGAGCCAGATGATTGGTCAAAGGAAAAACACACTACTGCACACAGGCCACACCCACCTGAGGAGGGAAAACACAATTCGATGTCTTTTTGAGCTGCAGAACAGTACTGAGCACACAACAAAACATCATGGATAGTTCAAAAAGTGAAAATTCTGTCATTATTTACAATCTTCATGTCATTCCAAACTTAATTTTCTTCACTGAAACTCAAAAGAAGGTGTTTAGCAGAATGTGCATGCTGCTCTTTTATAATTAGCAGTCTCATTCAAAAATTGGTGTGCACCATTTGGTTACAATAAATTTAATAACATAATTTCAAACCTTTGACGTACCAAGTTTGATTATGCGTATATAAAAATGTCAGTTGAGAACTTTTGTGGAGGGGAAGATTATGAGTGGATGACTACATAAATTTTTGGTCTACCTAAAGCAAAGCTATCATACAACTTCAGAAGACTTGGTATATAGCACGTTAATGGAACTTATTCAAGTTAAAAAAGGGAAGTAGGGGTAAACTTTTTAAAGAAATTTGTAGAGGTAATTTTCAGGAGAAATTTTTGTTTGGCCCCATTATAGTCATGAATGGAGTTCTGTTTCGTTTTCGCTTATGCCGAGTTCAGACTGCATGATTTTAGCCACGATTTTGGCTCGCCGACAGGTTTTGAGAAATCGCCGACAAATGCCCGAAATCACAGGCAAATCGGCGCTCGTTCACGCGAGTGACAATCACGCAGTGTGAATGAGCAAAGACGCGAACTGAGAGAATCACCGACGAGTCGCCGACGCCCGTGAGATATTTGGCATGCTAAATATCTGGACCTGTCGGCGATTCAAAATCCTGCTGTGTGAAAAGTGTTTTGACTGAAAACTACATCGGCGATCACCGGCAGCCAGTGAGAGAGCAAGATACAGAGCAGCAGGGAGTTCGGGGAGGAGTTATCACATATCAACATGCTATGGCATTGTTTCAACAAAAAAAGCTTCTTCTCGGTCTATTTGGACACAATAAATGGAAGAAAAAATAGTAGAAATTTGGCAGGAGCACTCGTGTCTGTTTCACCAGCTGTACCACAACCGGGTCGAAAAAAAAAGTCTCACGTGAGAACTCCGGTCTTGCACGTGTGGTGTCGCGCGTTGTTTCCTTTTCATATCTCACGCGTGTTTGTTGTGAAATGTAGTTTGTGTGCAGCGTGCTAGACAGAGTCTGTCGGCAGCGACCTGACTACTTTGAAAATCGTGCAGTCTGAAAGAGCCATTAGGTGTAAAAAAATTTGAAATACCTGCACAGCAGTATACTGTTATGGCTCTTTCAGACTGCACGATTTTCAAAGTAGTCAGGTCGCTGCTCTTTTCACACTGCATGACTATCTTGGCCAGCATTCAGTCGCTGCTGTGTTCACACTGGACGATGGATCGGCGACAGAAGGTTTCACACTGCATGACTTTAGAAAAATCGCCGACAGACTCTGTCTAGCACGCTGCACGCAAACTACATTTCACAACAAACACGCGTGAGATATGAAAAGGAAACAACGCGCGACACCACACGTGCAAGACCGGAGTTCTCACGTGAGACTTTTTTTTTCGACCCGGTTGTGGTACAGCTGGTGAAACAGACACGAGTGCTCCTGCCAAATTTCTACTAATTTTTCTTCCATTTATTGTGTCCAAATAGACCGAGAAGAAGCTTTTTTTGTTGAAACAATGCCATATCATGTTGATATGTGATCTATAACTCCTCCCCGAACTCCCTGCTGCTCTGTATCTTGCTCTCTCACTGGCTGCCGGTGATCGCCGATGTAGTTTTCAGTCAAAACACTTTTCACACAGCAGGATTTTGAATCGCCGACAGGTCCAGATATTTAGCATGCCAAATATCTCACGGGCGTCGGCGACTCGTCAGTGATTCTCTCAGTTCGCGTCTTTGCTCATTCACACTGCGTGATTGTCACTCGCGTGAACGAGCGCCGATTTGCCTGTGATTTCGGGCATTTGTCGGCGATTTCTCAAAACCTGTCGGCGAGCCAAAATCGTGGCTAAAATCATGCAGTCTGAACTCGGCATAAGTGAACATCCTGAAGCCACCCTCATTGATGGGAGTGGCGTTGAGATGAATAAACAGTAAAAATGTGCTGCGTGCTTCAATAACAACAACAGCAAAAACAAAACAACAGCAACTTTCCTCTTTTTATGGATATGACAAGACACGCAGTGGTCTTGTGGTCACGTACTGTAGGCTTTGTATACAATTTCCTGCGAGAACTATCCCGCTAGTTCTAAAATATAAACACATTTATTAGTCCTACCAAAGTGAATCAGGATAAGACACGGATAACACGTTTGGAAGGATTAATGATGTATTAACTCATTTAAATGTTGTTCTTTAAAAAAAATAAAATTAAAATAAAAAGTGTAAATGGGAGTCATATGACCACTAGACGAATTTTCTGTGTTACCTGTATTTCGATTTATGCATTGCATTGTTTGGTGTGTTACGGTTAAAGGAATTGGTAACACATTACACATGTACTTACTACAGTAATAACATTCAATTATGCAAGTAACTAAACCGAAACCAAATCCTCACCTTAACCCTATAGTACATGTACACATGTTTAATATTACTCAGTAGCCTACTCATTTGTGTAATTACAATATAACAACAACACCTTAAGTTTATCTGTCTGTATCTCTCTACTGTCAAATATTAGTTTAAAGGCCCTGATTGTGCCGTGGATGTGTAAATTTACTTCACATAATCTACAAAAGTCATTCACAGCCATGTGTACTCTGGTATTTCTCTCAATGGTTTCATTTTTGCATCATATAACTTATGTGTTGACAGGTTTAATTTGATGCGGCTGAGCTGGCGCATAACCAAACGTTGTGTGATTGGCTTACTGGTAACCAATGATTTTATACTTCAGACAAATGAACCCTCGCGATAAAGAAAACACTTCTCAGTGATGTCACTCCAGACTCTGTATACGAAGCAAAGCGAAGTAGCATAGTTTGGTATTACCAGGCTATATTTTGTCTTTGGTCTTGGACTTTGCAAGTCCCCGTCACTGTTTACTTTTATTGTGTGGGAAAGAGCAAAGTTTACTTTTATTGTGTGGGAAAGAGCAACGTGGACATTCTTAAGAATATCAACTTTGGTATTTAACAGAAAAAAAGAGCTTGGAACAAGTAAATTAAGAGAGAATTTACATTTTTGCGTGAGCACATACACAACCTCACATTACAAAATAAACTAAACCCCACACGCCATCACACACCCATAGAAAATCCAACTGGAAACATCATCGTTCTCTCTTTTTATATCACACGCACAGGGCGCTAATATTACTCATGATGGATAGCTCAATAGCGCCCAGCGCTAGGTAATGTGGCTGTGTTTTGATTGGGTGCAGAGTGGGCGAGTCATTAGCTTTTAGGATTTATGATTATGGCTTATCAAACAATACACACACCGTGACTCTACTACACACATGCAGTATCATGGGTAATCAAACAGCATGGCTTATCCATTGGCAAATACATACAGCATTGCATACAAAAACTCCCAGCATGGGTCAACTGTATTTGAGTGAGGCACACACAGCTCACAATACTGGATCATATAACAAAATTAACAAATTCTAAAACTGTATGATTCATAATTGCACAATGTTAAGGGTGTATAAAGGACTAGTACTAGACTGATATCATACATTTTTCAATAAAGCTGTCTACTTGGACAATTAAAAGACACCCCACAAACATGAATCTCACAAAACATTTTCAAATCAGCATGTGCTCAGTAAGCACACTGCAACATGATTATTTGTTAAAATGTGAGTACAATGGGATCGTAACTGGTAACAGAATACAACCCTCAAAACTTTGCTTATGCATTCCAGTTCACATATCACACTGAAAATAGAAAGTCCAGCATATTGTCTCAAACGGCATGGCATTTTGCCATGTGTATTGGAAAACTGAGAACAGTAAACATACTGCAGAAATAGTATGAGTAGTGGTTAGATACTGTTACAGCACAGCAGAGACACATATGAGTATTCACTAAGGGCTCGTCTGCATGGCCCAATGCTTGCATGGCTGCAAGTCTGTTTAAAACTTTCCGTTATAAAAATGAGTGCCATAAAACTTTAGGTGTGACCAGGGCTGTTCTAAGGATTTGGCTTAGTGTGTTTGGAATGTATGGCGTTAGCCTGACTTCGTCATACTCATTTTCTAATAAGAAAATGAGTCTGAGACCGCTCCATTGGGCTTTGATTATGAGGCGTGTCTTAACCGAACCAGGAAAAAAAAAAAACTCTGCCCTCAATTGGATAGTCGGTAAACCTACAACCAATCAGAGCAACGCAGTAAGTCAACTCCTTTGCATAGCGCAGTTTTCAAATACAGAACATAGCCTAACTTTATTTATTTTAGAAGTTAAATAACGATTGTTGCTTCTTTTACTTAGTTCTCCCAAAGTGTGACCAAAGGAGAAACCACAACGACCACAGGCTTTTCATTACGTCCCATCTTCTTCGCGACCGTCAGAGCCAGCTGATAAGTTACACTTTTCCCGAATCATGTTGGAAGGACAGCAAAAATATCTTTCCGATCGACAAATACCTTGATTGCAGTTCTCTGTTTGTTTATTAAAATTAATGCACTGTCGATTTATTTTACAACAGACGCGACAGCGGAATCTGTATCTCAATTCTCCAGCTGCAGTCAGGAAATCAGTTAGCGCTCTTTGATAACGTGATAATTACGTCCTTGCAGATCATCTGTCCATCATCGTATGAAGCCCGCCCTGGCAATTTGATTGCCCCGATGATTTGTGAACCGATCATAATAAGCCTTTTTCACGCGTAACTGGAAACTACGTCACGCCGGGTAAACTGATTTCCGCCACAGCAGAAACTACGGTGTTTGAACATGGAGCGTTATTTCACAACTTCTCTCTCGACACTTCCACAGCTAAGATTTGAGGATGTTGACAGAATTGTTGGACAGCACTCAACAGTTAAAGAAACAAGGCTGAGCAAAGGCTATAAATTCTTCGTTGAGGAATTTATTCACAATTATCAAGGTAAGTTGACAACTATCTGCCGCTAGCACTTGCAACATTATGAATGCTAATTGCTAACCATTTGTATGTGTTCAGTCTCCAATGTTGTTGATCGCAAGGTGGTAGTAAGAGCTAGGTGTTATCGGTCTATGAGGAAAAATGAGGAGCCCCACACTCTTGAGGTTATATGTAACGCTAGCGTTAATATGCCGGTTGGCTAATATGAGTTAGTCAGACTGTTCTGATATCAAGTTACTGCGGTTGCAGAATTTATTTCCCTTTATTTTAGTTGCACCTGTCTTAAGTTTTTCTATGTTGGTTTTTAGTTATGTCTCTTTCATTGCTTCTGCGGTTGCAGACTACAGCTGTATTTCTTGCTTTTGCTGCTGTTTGCAGCTTTCAATTAACAGCACTTAAAGGGATAGTACACTTCAAAATTAAATTTCTGTCATCATATACTCACCGTTAAGTTGTTTTTATCCTGTACGAATTTCTTTCTTCTGCTGAACACAAATGAAGAAATTTTGAATAATAATGTCAGTAACCAAACAGTTTACTGGTGCCATTGACTTGCATAGTACTTTTTTTCCTACAATGGAAGTCAATGGGATTTAAGGCATAATTCAAATGTCTTTCTCAGGGTAAATGATATCAAAACAGAAGCCTTAGTGGGTATTAACAAATATTTTAAGGCATAATTCAAATGTCTTTCTCAGGGTAAATGGTATCAAGACAGAAGCCATAGTGGATATTGACAAATATAGCAACAAATACTATGAGGACAACAGAAACTTTTTCGGTATTATTTTGCAATTTTTAAGTGAACTATCCCTTTAATGTAGCTCACAGCATAAAATTACAATTCATTAGCTAAACGATTGTCTTCTCAAACAGGTGTCACTGGAGACAGAAGAGGTTGTTTGTATTTCTTCCTATATGTGCAGCTGTGCAGCTGGTAAAGGGTTGTGCAACCATCTGACAGCACTTGTGTATCAGACAGCCCACTTTGTGCAGCTGAATTTACAGTCTGTCCCACCACCACTGGCCTGCACGAGTGAGCCACAGAGATGGCATCGTCCAAGAACACAGGCATGTATTTTTTTTTTACTGCAATTGGTAAGAACACTATAGTATATCAACTCTAACAAGCAAGTAAGTAGGCTACATGTTAACATCAAAGCATTATGGACTAATAATGCACAAGAGTGCAGATTAAGTAACAACGGTATAAATGAACATCACCCAAGATTAATACAATCTGTTAACTGTTATTACTCATTATATCATATTGACTAAATGCATAAACTAATTTAAATGTATAAAACCTCAAAGTGTTTTGAGAATATTTTAACTCTGCATATGTTTGTTTTATGCTAAGGGAGTCCATCCAGAGGCAGTGAGTGAACTTGTTGTCCTGAAGCCAAAGTCATCTGGGAAGACTGGAATCAAGTCTACCCTATACATGGCTTACACAGGTAATACACAACACTGTATGTGTACAAGTCGTGTACTCAGCTACAACTTAATGTGTTCAAAACTAATAGTTTGTATTAATTTCTTTAGGTCCCCTTCCAGATTCTGATGTATTGGCTTCTGGTACCAAACTGAGTCAGATCCATCCCCAGCCTTTGCTGGCACACATGCTAGAGGGCATGTCAGAAATAGAGTTGGTCCCCTCACAGTTTGGTCCTGTACCTCGTGGTAGTCCGCTTTCATACCAATGTCCCCCTATAGCTGTAGATGTTCCTTTTGTTAATTTCCCCCCACTACCTGTGCTTGGCTATCAGTTTGGCTGTAATTTTAAATATGTGCCCACACACCATCAATCACTTCATCTTGAGTCTATAAAGGTTACCCATTGTTCCGCTTTTCATATTGAAGAGGCCACAAGACTACAGTCAAAATGTACTGCTTGGAGACAAATGCGGCAATCAAGAGTTACTGCAAGCAGGTTCCGAGAGGTTTGCCATGTAGTTGGTGATTCAGCTGGTCAGTCATTAGCGGTAAGAATCATCAAGGGCACGAGGCAGACAAGTGCTATAAAACGTGGCCTTGAACTTGAGCCAGATATTTTGAGAAAATATTCTGAGATAGCCAGTGTTAGTGTCCTACCTTGTGGTTTTATTATCAACCCAGAAGCACCACATCTAGGAGCAAGTCCAGATGGACAAGTGCATGAACCATCTGAAACCTTCCAATTTGGACTAGTGGAGGTAAAAAGCACATCTGCTGATAACATTGCCCAGGTTCCGTTTATGAAACTTCAAAGAGGACAAGCCAAACTCAAAGAGTCCCACAAGTACTACTGGCAAGTTCAAGGCCAGCTTGCAGTAACTGGTCTACAGTGGTGTGACTTTGTGACTGACACAAAATCAGATTTCACAATAGGATCTAGCGAGATGCCTTTATAGCATCAATGAAAGACAAGCTAGACATGTACTATTATTATGTTTACATGGATGTGTATCTTTCAGTGGTATAAATGTACGGTAACACTTTACTTAAAGGGGTGTGCGTAAGACTGACATGACACCTTCATAATCATGATATGACACATGTCACGAATATGAAGGAGGTTTTATGAATGTTTATGACCACTGTCATTCAGTGTCATTCACTCAATTATGACAAGTTTAATGCAAATATGACATTGTTTAAGATTTAATAAAAGCTTGCGATTAGAGAGTGAATCCAATCGCAAGCTTTTATTAATAACACTAACCGATAATCCAGGGAACTCAGAACAGGACAGAGAAACAGACAGGAACCAAGTAACATTTAAACAACAACCGACAGGCAACAACTAAAACAAAGGGGTTTAAATACACAGACAAACAAGCCAATCAAGATAACAAGGGGGCGTGGTTGATAAGAAACACCTGTGGACACTGAGCAACAACATGACAAAAGACAAGACACATGGCAGGATCACATGACCAACAAGGAATCACGTGATATATAAAACACAACAAAACCCACACGTGACAGTAGTTGAGGTCATGAAAAATATTCATGACACAGTTATAATGCCTCATGACAGCCAATGTCAAAGCCAACCACATGACAGTTTAAATACATTTAATGACAAGTTGTCATGACAAAGACACTGACAGGTTATGATGTATTGGTTTATGTCAAGGTGTGATAAAGACATCTCAATGTCATATTTGCATTAAAAATGTCATAATTGAGTGAATGACACTTAATGACAGTTATCATAAACATGCATACAAGCTCCTTCATATTCATAACATGCGTCATGTCATGATTATGAAGGTGTTGGGTTAGTCTTATGCACACCCCTTCAAGTAAAGTGTTACCAAATGGGGTAATAATATGAACAGAAACTGTCCATGACCTTTTAAGATTTATTCTTATACTTTTATACAGTACACCCACATTTATTTACATAATAGTTAATACATTATTATATTTTGAGCTTGATCTTGTGTAACATATGTGTATATGATATCTATGCATGCACATTTACTAATTGTTTATGTATTAGTGATGGGAAGTCCGGTTCTTTTCCGCGAACCGGTTCTTTCGGACAGTTCGTTTTAATGAACCGGTTCAAAAAACCGGTTCACCAGTTCTTTTACGTCATCACGTAATGACGTCAATTCTATCATCCCTGCGGATAAAAATACTTCAAATTAAAGGCATTTGTAATCACAACTTCAGTTAAATAATAGTATGCATTGTCATAATCATCTTGGATAAGTTTCTTATATTTACATTTTGAAAACGAACCCTGCTGCAGCCTAGGCGATGTGCTAACGCGGATGTTTTACATGTTTTAAATATATAAAATGCATAAATGGTCTTCATCATTTTATTTGTTATTAAATAAACTTACATTTCGCCGATTCGCCCTCTCATTTAAGTCCTGGGTTCACCCGTACTACTGCGTGCTCATGTATCAGCACAGGATCAGCCGGCCGAAAGAAAGTTCTGTTCAGAGACGGTGCTATCACGCATGCGCAGTATCTCCAGCTCATCGGTTCTCCGTATCGAACGTGTCCGAAAGAAACAGTTCTCGGTTCTGTACTAGTGATTCAAGAACTGCAACAACCAGTTCTCGACTCGAGAACCATAGCTGTGTGCTGAGCTGAAACCTGAATATACAGTCGACAAAACTAAAAAATCGATGCATGTCTGTCTCCAATATAGCCTTCTGTAGCCTACAGTATACATCATGTTTATAATGTGTTAACATAACGAATTAAACATATATGTTTAATTCGTTATGTTAACACATTATTTACTAAACAGTGCACCAAACCTTGGCAAGAGTTTACATCAATGATTTATATTGTTACTTAGAAATTAAATGAGCTGTTCCTGAAAATATTATTTTAGTATAATAAATGTTTAGTAGTAGTTAAACAGTTTTAGAATCCAATCATTATTTCCAATCGTTAAAATAATACAGTGATACAGTAATGTGATAAACATGTTTCCAAAATGTTTTATTTTGTTACACTTACTGATATGTTCAACTAAAGACATGGAAACGTACATTTCGTCCCTCAGAAAAAAAATGCACGCATGCTCAGCTCATCAACTCATCAGTTCTCAATATGTCGAACGTGTCCGAAAGAAACAGTTCTCGGTTCTGTACTGGTTATCCGACCGCTGTACCTGTATGTTCGGTAGTACACGCATGCGCAGTATCAGCTGCTCGTGCTCATCGCTTCTCTCAGCACCAACATATGTCTCCGTTCAGTGAACTTTTTGAGTTACTGAATAAAATGTACTAATGGATATTGGTTTATTTCGATTCGGAGGGACTGTCAGGCATGTCTGAAAGTGAGTAACTTTAGTAACTTGTGGTTTAGCGCTGACGCAAGACGCGAACTGTTTCGAACGATTCAGTCCGATTTAGTGTACTGGTTCGACCGGTTCACTAAAAAGAACCGGTTCAAAAGAACGATTCGTTCACGAACCGGCCATCACTATTATGTATTTGTATTGTGTAAAATAACAATGAACAGCAGAACTCAGTTTACACACATGTTTTTATTGATTCTTATTAAAAAAAGGCCTCTTGTCAACTATTTCAATGCGTCTGTCAAATTACTTTCAGGAAACTTAGTATAAATAATGACAATATGCATTTGATCAAATGTTACAGTACAAAGTAAACAAAAAAGTACAAACAAGACATTTAATGTTAAATATTGAAAGTCTGTTACTACTATTGTAAAAAATCACACGGTCATTGTAAATATCTAATATTATTATGCATATACTTGTATACTGTACATTCACTCCTCAAGAAACATCGGCCCCTGGTAATTAACCATAAAACAGCAATTATGCCAGATCTGATTGATGCTTCCTGACAAGGTGAGTGACACAACAGTATCCCAAATGTGGTTTTCCTTGACCCTTCGAATTACCCTTTCCACCAGAATTCTGAGGCGTGCAATGGCCTGTGTTTTTTTCACAGTCTTGTTTGCTGAACTGCTTAGCACGTTTGAAAGGTGGAATGATCAGTCTAGCACCAACAGTGGAGAGCATATCCTCGATTGTGAATCCTTTGTCTGCCATGACCTCATCTCCAGGTTCAAGCAGGTCCAAAATGCCGGACTTCTTTGTGATCTCTTTGTCGGAGATTGAACCTGTGTAAAGCTGGGAGATGAAAGTCATTGCACCACATGGAGCTACTCCAACCAGACCTTTAAATGTAGTGCTCTTGTAGCTGGAGAAGATCTCTGAGTGGAGTGTCAGAGATGTGGGGCTTTCACAGCGGACTTCTGTGCAATCCAGGATGACTCGCAGGTTTGGACAGAACAAACTGTACTTCTTAGGCATATTTGTTGCCTGGACATCCAAATGGGTACTGAACCCAACACTAAGAACAGGTAGTTAGCCCAGGTGATAATGGCCCTACTCACCGTGGCCACGCTTACCCCGAAAATGTCAGCGATTACTTGTTCCCTCAGTCCAGCAGCTACTCGACAGGAATACATGAACAGTTCATCTATGAGCTGGATCTTCCGTGCAGGGCTAGGGCTTGGGGATGCTTCCTGTCCCATCCTCTGTGCCTTAGTCCAGTACACAAGATTGCTGGCCGATGGACAAACAGACTCCCAGAACACCTGGAAAACTTCCTGTGAGGAAAACGTCTCGGTTACGTATGTAACCCTCGTTCCCTGAGTAGGGAACGGAGACGTTACGTCAGAAGTGACGGAGATTGGGGGTTTCGCATAGAAAGCCAATCCTCTTCGAGTATTAAAACACGAGCCAATGGCATGCAATGCCTTGGGGCTGCGGAAATTTGCATAGCGTACTCCGCCCTACTCCGTGAGTATAAAAGGAGGAAGTGAACGCAACCGCAGTATGTCTTCGCTGAGGAGCCAAGACTGAACTCGGCCTCTACCCAGCGATACAGCAGAAGTGGCAGGGAGACGTAACGTCTCCGTTCCCTACTCAGGGAACGAGGGTTACATACGTAACCGAGACGTTCCCTATCGTAGTCACTTCGAGTTACGTCAGAAGTGACGGAGATTGGGGGTCTGTGCCATCACGCCATCTTCAAGCTGTCTTCCAGTGCCCTGCGAAAGACTGAACCCCCGAGCCTTACCTCTTTTTTTTTTTTTTTTTTTTTTTGGGGATCCGACTTTGACACAGGATTACCAAGGTACACTGGGAACATATCCCGAAGGGGACATGCTACCAGCTGCCTACCGAAGGGAGGACTTAAGAATACACATATGGCCACATAGGAACGCATATGGAACACTGGAGTACCAACCGCAGGTGGCTACTGATTTAAACTCCAGGGTGGCAGATGGCTTGCCAAGGGAAGACACATGCTCAGAGAGGCTTACAGTGGATAATACACATGAGACGGTTACCATGGGGAACCGTGCGCATGGAGGCACCTAGCTAGCATCCAGAGCAACGCAGTGGTGCCCGCATCGTCGGTGCTGGAGGACTCAAGACTTCAATGGAAGAACTGAGGAAATATCGCACTTATCCAGTCCGGGGAGTGGAGTGGCGAGCAAGCGAAGACACCTGAGCGGATCCAGAACTGGCCGAAACGAGTACGTGAGAGGATACCGGCTCAATTCGCAGATTATAGAATCTGGCGAAGGTGTTGGGTGTCGCCCAGCCTGCAGCTCTGCAGATGTCTGTTAGCGAGGCGCCGTGCGCTAAAGCCCAAGAGGAGGCTACACTCCGAGTGGAATGGGCCGTCACACCAAGGGGGCACGGAAGGCCTTGCTGCTGGTAAGACAAAGCAATGGCATCCACTATCCAGTGGGACAGCCGTTGCTTTGAGAGAGCCCTTCCCTTCTGGCTCCCCCCATGACAGACAAAGAGCTGGTCTGAGGTCCTGAAACACTGCGTTCTGTCGACATAGGTGCGGAGAGCACGTACCGGACAGAGCAGTGCCAAGGCTGGGTCTGCCTCCTCCAGGGGCAGCGCTTGCAGGTTCACCACCAGGTCCCGGAGGGGAGTGGTAGGAACCTTGGGCATATATCCAGGCCGGGGTCTCAGGAATACGTGAGA